CATTTTTTCATGTATTTGTTGATTGATTGTATATCCTCTTCTGAGAATTGTCTGTTCAGGTCCTTGGCCAATTTATTGATTGGGTTTTTTGTTTTTTTGGTGCTTAGCTTTTTGAGTTCTTCATATACCCTAGAGATTAGTGCTCTTTCTGATTTGTGAGGGGTAAAAATTTGCTCCCAAGATGTAGGCTCTCTATTCACCTTACAGACTGTTTCTTTTGCTGAGAAGAATTTTTTTTTAGTTTGACTCCATCCCATTTACTGATTCTTGGTTTTAATTCTTGTGCTATAGGAATCTTATTAAGGAAGTTGAGGCCTAATCCCACATGTTAGAGATTAGGACCTATTTTTTCTTCTATTAGAAGCTGGATCTCTGGCTATATTCCTAAGTCCTTGATCCATTTTGAGTTGAGTTTTGTGAGTGTTGAGAGACAGGGGTTGAATCTCTTTTGTTGTACACGGATTTCCAGTTTTCCTAGCACCATTTGTTGAAGAGGCTATCTTTCCCCAATGGTGTTCTTGGCACCTTTGTCTAATATAAGATAATTTTAGTTTTGTGGGTTAGTCTCTGTGTCCCCTATTCTGTACCATTGGTCTACCAGCCTGTTTTGGTGTCAATACCTTGCTGTTTTTGTTACTATTGCTCTGTAGTATTTTTTCATGTTGTCCAAGTGTCTTACTTTCTTGCAGTGTGGATCTGGGATATTACAGTTTCTTCTCTATTTTCTTGTAGTACCCATGCAGACTGTCTGTACCTCACCTTGATGTTGGGCTTCCAGACCCTGCTGGTCTCCCTCAATGAATGCTATTGCATCCTGGATCTGGGTCCTGTGCAAGTTGGAGTAGGTAGATATGGGCCTATGGGCTTGACCTCCTGCAGTAGTTTTTGGGTGGGAAGGGGCAGTCCCACTCCAGAGGCTAAGCTCTGGGGGGGGGTCTGCCCCCGCTGAGGGAGAGGTAGACCAGGGCTGCTAAAAGCCTGGGACCTGCACAGGCTGGTGTGGGTGGATCTGGACCACCAGGCTTGACCTCCCATGTAGTCTGCTGGAAGGGTAAACTGGACCTACTGAGAGCCTGGGTCCTAAGCAGGCTGGTATGAGTGGTCTCCTTAGATAACTTTTAAAATACAGCCAGTCTTACACATATCTTACAGAAAGTCTTTAACTTTAGATCCATCTTGAAATGAATATGAATAAAGTTATATTTCCCCTAAATAACTACAAGGACATGGCTCATGTTACCCAAGATGACCACAACAATGAATGAGGTATTATTATTACATGGAGAGTTTAGCAACTCAGCAAAACAATTTAATTGCCTTTGCAATATGTTATAACAACAATACTGGGACTTCTTGGACCAGACTTTTCCTTTCTCCATTTCTCAGGAACAGACCTCCATTCTCACTGGTCATCTGTACTAAATACTGATTCTGTCAGTATGTGCTCACCTCTATTTATTTACTCTCCATGTGCTAATCACCCAGCATTTCAGTAGGCTCCGGGAATACACACACTAAAGGTGCACAGTTATCTTAACATACCAAGACTTTCAAAGCAGGCAGAGCATTCAGGGAGAAACAACTGGTGAATCAGCAATTATACAGCAGAGAGGCTATGAACCTTCTGAACTATAACAGGATTACATACAGAGCACAAGGAGACACAGAGAAGGCAGGTATGGGTATGGGTCCATGTTTTTGCTTTCAGATTCAACCATACTTTACACGTTGACATCTTTATGAGTCTCCCAGGTCCAATGAAGAAAAGATTTCCTTGCTAAAATGTAACACAACCTGAACAAATGTACAAAACACCTCCCTCCTGAATACACAGAGAAGTGAAATAATTACACATAAAATATATTACTTAAGGTATGAATTGCTTTTATGAGTTAATAATAAAAACAAAATTCTGACAAATTACAGTGGGCAGAACTTGTCTGTAAGTTCAGTATTTAATAGAAAGGAAAGATTCAAAACACATTATATTGTGCTAAGAATTTTATCTCCATTGAACTTTGAACAGATGACCCTGTTCTCAAGAGGAACAATTTTACTAGCTAGGTTTCACAGTAAACCATTAATGACTTTTTAAAAAGCCACCAGCAGGCAAAAATCATGGTGGACTTTCCAAGTTAGGAGATTCCAACTTATTAACTGTGCAGATCATACTAGGTCACAGTCGCTACTAAGTGGTATATAAGATTTGGGGGGCTGGGGATGTGGCTCAAGCGGTAGCG